ACGGGCCCTGGCCCGCGTCTGCGCCGCCTGCAGTCCTGGGACGCCGAGCAGCGGGTTTCTCGGCATCCCGGGGCTCAGAGCCGGGCTTCTCGGCAGTGTGGGCCCAGGCTCCGCGCCCGCACGCCAGGGCGGCCGGGGTGGGGGCGCAGGACTCAGCCCCCAGGCGCAGCAGGCCACGCCGGGCCACGGGGCTCTGGGTCGGCAGACGGCCGCGCGGGGTCCCGAGAAGCTTCCTGGCGGCGTGAACTGTGCACCCGGGAGAAGGGGCGTTGCTGGCCAGAGGGAGTCGCTGCGGGGGTCCTCTCGCGGCCAGGGACAGCAGCCTGCTGGGCCGGCGGGGCGGCGGGCAGCCTGGTGGCCCGGGTGGTGGGCGGGCAGCCCGGCCTGCCCCACCGCTAAAGCCCTCAGGATAACGGGCGGAGGGAGAGGCTGGCCCTGTGGGCCCCGTTCACCCTTGGCCCACGGGGGTGGACCTTGACCCACGCGGGGCTCCGAGGAGGCCGGGGAGCGCCTGGCCGCAGTTCGGGGCTGGGAGGTGCAGTGGGGGCCGGGCCGGGCGAGCCCCAGGCTCAGAGGCTGCTCTTGGGCGCCTGTAGTGGCCACCGGGACGGCTCCACCTGGGGCTTGTCCAGGGCCAGAGACCCGAGTGTCTCAGGGCGTGCTCGCCTGTGGGCCAGTGGCAATACCGCCACGCAGAGGCAGCTTAGACCGCTGCCCACGCCCCGGCGTGAGGTGGCCGCCGCTGCCTGCCTGTGGCCTCCTGACCTGGGACGGGCCCGGCCCCGGGGCCACGCGGGTGCACCGGGCCTCGCCAGCCGGGCTCCTCCGTGTCCTAGGGGTGTCCGTGGGCGAGCGGTGGCAGGAGCTCCTGCCTGTGACCCAGGGGCACAGTCGCGACCACGTGCTGCTGTTCAACGACGCGCACTTCCTGATGGCGTCCCTGGGCGCCGGGGCCAGCGGGACCACGCAGGAGCTGCTGACCACCCTGCAGGAGGCCAGCGAGTACGCGGGGGCCCGGGCCTGGGTGCCGGTGGGTGGGGGCCGGCTGAGCCTGCCCGGGGCGCCCTGCCGGCCAGGGAGGCTGGGTGGGGCTGGGGGGACTGCCAGGTGTGCCCCCCCAGGTGGGTGCCCTGCCAGGCAGTCGTTTCCCCAGACCACGGGGCGGCCGTGAGAGGCTCCGTGGCATGGTGGCCCCTCAGGGGACTGCCTGTGGGGTCCCGGGCCGCAGACCTGGCTGCTTCCGGCCCGAGGCCGTCTCCTGCCCCAGCCGTCTCCTGCAGAGCGGTGCCCGCCTGCTGTGACGCGGGC